CAGAAAAAGCAGGAAGCTCAAACCAAAGGTAATTTACACGACCATCCCATGCCCAGCTTATGCCACACATAGCCTCTGGGTAAGAGTGTGGAGGTGACAAGTGCTACCCTAGGTCTTGGCCAAGCACCTTTGTGGCCACTGCCTGTTTTCAGCCAAACAGAACTAAATTTAAATAACATTTAAGGGGAAAAATGAGATATTGGTCACTGAAAATGCAAAAATACACCTTCTTTTGATAAGCACAATAAAAATAACAAGCCCACTACACAGTACCCTTGAGTACTTAGCTTTTCCTCTTTAATTGTTCCCAGTAAGTGGTTCAAACCCCAAATATCCCAAGCAGGCTTGGCACTCCAGGAACTGGTTATTTTCTTCTATGCTCAAGGTTTCAGTAAGGGCTGTTCTTTCCTACTCAAACAAACTTATAGGACAATAGGCCCAAGGATCCATGGAGAATGAAGTCCACCTTGCTCACATTATAAGGTTCACAAATGAGCCAGTTTTAGGAGCTTGACTGTAATGCTGACTTGCACTTTGCTTTCCCTTTCTGTGACAGGAGGCTCACTTCCTACAGGGCAACTGGCTGTTCACTGTTCGACAGCTCATAATGTTTGCTAATGTTGGGTGAAAATCCATTTCTCTATAGACATCGGTTCTAATTCTTCCTCCAAACAAAAATTCTTTGGGCTGGAGGGATGGCTCAGCAGTTAAGAGCACTGGCTAATCTTGCAAAGGACCTGGGTTCAGTTCCCAGCATCCACATGGTGGCTAACAACCATCTGGAACTCCAATTCCAGGGGATCCAACACCCTCATCTGGCCTCCACAGGCATTGCATGCATATGGTACATTTCATATATCCAGACAAAACACATAAAATTTTATTAATTAAAAGCATTCCTTTAACATAAAATGTTCTTAAACATCTGAAGATAGAACCTCTCCAAGACTTTCTTATTTTGACTAAATCTCTTTGTTTTTCATACATTCCTATAACATGTGATTGTTTCTAGACCTCCTACTATAACACTTCTGAGACCCTTCTATTCTTGTCAGTGCTAACCTCTATAAAAACCATGCTTACAGTATTTGTTATCTCTTTCTCCTGCTCTTCCTCATGTAGGCTCTGTCGTCTGGTGTTTGAAAATTGCTCTTGCTGAAGCTGCCGACGTTGTTTCCAAAGTGGACTCTTTAGAGTTCTCTTATTGTTTGCTGAGTAGTACACAGCAAATTGACACTTAAGTTTTAATTTTTTAATATCTTTGAGAAGTTTTATTTTCAATTTTGAAGCAATTTCAAACTAGGAAAAGTTAAAAGTATAACACAAAAACAGTTGTTTTGAACTTTTGGGGGGGTTCTGTTTTTGAGACAGGGTCTCCCTGTAGCCTCAGCTGGCCTGGAACTTGCTATATATATCAGACTGGCCTCAATCTCACAGAGATCCACCTGCCTCTGCCTCCCAAGTGCTGGGACTAAAGGTGTGTGCCACCATGCCCAACTTCTTGAACTATTTTGAGTGTGAGTTATAGACATGGTACCCCTATTAACTCTCACAAAGACATTCTGAATCCACAATTTCTCCACATCAGCAAAGTAGGCAGAGATAACACTAGCTTTATTCTACTCCTAAGCTTCACAAGCTTTGCAGATTACTTCAGTAGTGTTCCTTACAGTCAAAAGGCTCTGTTCTGGGTCACACACAGCATTTATTGCCTGGTTTCTTCCACATATTTCACTCTAGGACAAACTCTTCAGATATTCTTTGATTTTGATGACCTCAGTACTTCTGAAGAAGACAGAGCAGTTAGGTTGTAGAATTCTCTCAACTTGAGTATGTCTGTTTCTTTTGGATTATAGTCAAGAAACCCTGGTATTTATTGGTGAAGAATGGGATTTATAAGACAGTATCTGCTTGTTGGATGTGCCTCTTGCTATCCTGTTATTTTCCACTTGGCCTTCTCAGTGGCCAGAGCTGAAGTACGCACATTTACATACAGGCACACATACCTACCACATACCAACATGTGTATTTATTTCTTTTTGTATATGTAAGTACAACATACACACATTCATATATAAAATCTTGATACTATCCTTTCCAATGCAACCTCACAGGGTCTTTTTGTCCTGTGTTGAGTTGCTGAACATGTTCCCTCTTTCTGGTTCTTCAACATGAAGATTCAACTTAAGTAAAAGTTTACACTTTGAACATTACTCTTCCTAATGAGTCATATCATCCCCAAGAGTATACTAAAACAAAAATATAGAAATAAAGAAGGTCTTTTATTTTTTAAATAAGTCATTAATAATGTCCTAAATGTCCAACAACTAAAGGCTTGTGATGTATCCACTTAACGTGTTTCCCTAATCATTGAGCTTTTGTTAAATCAAAATTATGAGAATGCAAAAGCAAAATGGGAGAATGTACCTATTTTGATTAGGAAAAGTGTGAAAAATGTATGTGCAGTGAGATCATAAATATGAAGAATGCCAGGCATAGTGCTCACATGTCCTTAATCCCAGCACTGTAGAGGCAGAGCAGGTGGATATCTGTGATTTCAAGGCCAACCTTGTCTACATAGTGAGTTTCAGGCCAGCCAGGGCTACTTAGTGAGACCCATCAGTAAATTAATAAATATGAAGAAAACCCATCAACATTTGTACATATTGGGAAGGAAACTAAGCTAGCATGTTGTGTGGGGTGTACTGGATAGCTACAGATGTCAACTTAACACACCTGGGAAGAGGGAACCTCAACTGAGAGTCCTTATCAAATTGACCTGTGGCTATGTCTGTGAGGTACTTTCTTAATTGCCGACTGATGTAAGAGGCACCAGACCACTTTGGGTGGTGTCACCCCTGGACAGGTATTCCTGAGTTGTATAAGAAAGCAGACTGATTACAGGCCAGGGGAGCAAGCCAGTAACCAGCATCCCTCCATGGTCAGTGCTTTGGGTCCTGCCTCCAGTTTCCTGCCCTGTTTCTGCCCTGACTTCCCTCAGTGATGAACCGTGATTGGGGTGTGTAACTCAAATAAACCCTTTCCTCTCTCACATTGGTTTTGGTCAGTGCTTGATTATAGCAATAGAAAGCTAACTAGAACACAGAATAAAGATATGTGTGCCAGTTGTAAAGCCGTCCGTGATATAAATAAAACTAATCTTTAAAAAAAGGATTGACTGTGAGTTAGGCACTTTGCCAAAGCATAGTTTTGGAGGAGCCCTTCAGACAAGTAGGAAAGCAAAGCTTCATGTAGCTGTCTCATGCCAAGGTGGGTACAGTTCTTTTTTGTTTGTCAGATAGATGCAAGATGTATTTTTGGTGTACTGTTGTCAGTGTGCTGAGAAGGAGCTTTTTTTTGCCTAATTCCTGTTGGCACCAGGCTACATTTCTTTAGGCCCTAAAACAGGGTCACTGTAGAGTGACAAACAGGTCAGATCAGTCATTGTGTGCTTATTTGAGGACAGCCTAGTGCTTATGATTTCACAGCAGAAATTGTTCTTGAAGTGATACATAAACCATCCCTTCCTTAGCTTAGTCCAAATAAGTCCTCCCCCTCATCAAATTGCTTTGTATTTTTAGTACAGTTGGGAGCAGAGCCATTTTTGAATTTCCTCTGTAGACATGCTTCAGTGCTAGTTTTTTGGCATCATTCACTGACTGGCACCTCGTTCCTGTTACCCTAAATATCTGTGCCTGCTACAGAGTCTGTAGGCTTCTTTCACTTTCTGTATATAAGCTTTGCGTGAACTGGATGCAAAATCTTGCTGGAGTCCCAGCATCACCTTAAGCACCACAGCAGTCCACTCTCGAAAGTATCCTCCTGATCCACAGCTACTGTCTTTATCAGGCCACGGTATGAGCTTCCTGTGCTTGTCTCACTTGGGCTTCCCAAGTGCTGCCCACTCAGAAGCATAGAGACATGCGGGGAAGCCTCCTCAGACTCCGTCACCCAGGTAGCAAGCACACAGCTCCTTAGTTGGAGCACTCGGAGCCTCCTGCCACTAGGTGCCACCTTGCTTTCCTTAACGTAATCCTCTGTGGAACTTCCCTTTCTTATTGTCCTGAGGGTCATGTGGGCCTTGCCTAGGGTATTTCTCAGGTTCTCAGGTCATTCTTCCAGGCAGGGTAACTGCTTTCTAAACTGGTAAAAAAATTTTCCATTTGTGTTTGATACTACACCAGAAGTAGCAATTGAAGCACCAAATTAGACTTCTCCATCTCTGTCTTATTTCACAAAAGTACATGTTGTTGAAAAGATGAGGGTGGAATTTAGAAAGCAGCTTTCTTATAGAGTTTATAATCATCAAGATAGAACAAGAAATCTCATCTATGGCAGTAGTTTTGTTTCCATCCACACACAAGTGAAATGCCATGTGTGCAGAGAGCGCAGGAGAGAACATAGGGCACAGCCTGACATTAACGAGGGAGGAGGCGGACAATGAGTGCATTGCAGTTGTTGAGTTTCTGTTTTCTTTGTATCCTTTATTCTCAAACTTCAGCCTCCCCCTCATCCAGTTTCTTTAAAAATGTGATACTTTAGTGAATTGTATTCACATGCCTCCACCAAGACTTTGAAGCTATTTTTCTCCCATAGCAACAAAAGGCAGAGAATTATGGTTTTGAGTTTTTGAAAGGCATGGCTGCTTAGAGTTTCTCTTACTCATAACTAAGTTGTTTTCGACACGGCATAACCAAGAATTTAGTTTTCATGTTCTGAAAGTAAAAAGTAAGGAATTAACTGTCTTCAGATAATGTATCAACTCTAAAATGTCCTTATTTTTTCCATCCAAGTGTTTCTTTAGTAGTTCTAACATAAAATATAGGAAGGTGCTTGGTTATGAAAAATTTAATGAGCTTTTAATAATGTATCCAGCATAAGCCTCTGTATTACATTAGCCTTTTTTATATCCTGTTCCAAATAAAGGTAGAAAGGACTGCCTTTCAAAATACCTAGAGATAGCTATGAAAGGCACAACAGAATTTAAACCTTTTAATCTGTGTAAAAGGCAATGTTTGCATTATAAAATTTTCTAAATTCATTACAGTATTTTGGGAGTAATTCTTTGAGGAGTCAGATCTGTAAGTGAATTAAAAAACAAAATAGAGTTAATTTGGGGTTAAGAACAATGTATTTTAAATGCATATTATTCTTCCCTATAGTTGAACAATTTGTCCAAAACACAATACCATTCATGTAGGATTTTTGCCCGTTCAGATCTAAGTGGGAATCAGTAGTTTCTTTGTTGGTCACTATGGAAACGAGTCAGCCTATCCTGAATAGCTCTTAGATCATACAGAACGATGCCTGTGTCTCGGTGTAATTCCTCGCTGAGCAAGCCAGGGCTGACTTCTCCCTGCCTCCAACTCTTCCCTCTCTGGAGCCAGTGCCATGCAGGTGCAGGACGCACCCAGGCGGCCCTCTGCTGTGCACTTCCTCAGCGCCTTTCTGCAGGGTCGCCGGCACTCCACTTCAGATCCAGTCCTCAGGCTACAGCAGGCCCGGCGTGGCTCTGGCTCTGCCACCAAGCTGCTGTCCTCATCCTCTCTCCAGGTGATGGTGGCCGTGTCCTCTGTCAGCCGTGCAGAGGGGAAACCAACTTTCCCTGAGAAAAAAAGTAAAACTCTTTTTTCTTATAAATTGCTTCACCTTTGTATCTAAATTCAAGGAATGTGAATAGGCTGTATTATGTCTATACTTTTAAAATATTGACAATTCTATTTATACTTTTTACTGTGTTTATGCTAAGACTTTGAATGGATATGTAAGATAAAATGATGGAATATTTCGTGGTTTTCCATTAAAAACATAACTTCTGGACAAATTTTATCCCCTTGAAAAGAGTGTGCTTTTACAATTTCTTCTCATTATCAATATAGGTGAAAATTAGTGCATATAAAAACCTTTTAAATATTAGATTAAGAGATTTAACACCAGCTCATCATCTACAATACTGAGATAAGATGGAGCTGTTTCCCATTTTAATACTCCATTGGGATAATGGAATTTTGAAACTTCCCTTCCTTGTGTGTTCTAGGAAATTCAGGATGCCCAACACCAAAGTACACAAAGGTGGGAGAACGTTTACGGCATGTCATCCCTGGACACATGGCATGTTCCATGGCTTGTGGTGGGAGAGCATGCAAGTATGAGAACCCAGCCCGCTGGAGTGAGCAGGAGCAAGCCATTAAAGGAGTTTACTCATCCTGGTAAGTGGGACTGTGGATCTTGCATAGCTGTGTCGGGTGAAGGAAGCAGGGTGCATGTTAACTGGGAGATGGGGGGGTGGCAAAAGAAATGTGGACCTTGAAGTCAGGGGACCTCGCCACCATCCCTGCCTTTGCCCAAAGGCCTGCTGTGGAATCCTAGCCTACTCAATCTTAGTTTCTCATCTGTAAAGTGGAAATAATTAAGCCTAAATCATATTTAAATTAAGTGAAATAGTTTGTATAAATTATCTTAAGTAAATGGGTAATTAGCTCTTAAGTTTCAGAAATTGGTGGAATAGTAAAAATGTTCAGCTATAAGTTTAAGAAAATTACAAGGTTCATTTATAGTTCTTCAGATTCATACAGGTAAGCTTCAGATCATTTTTATGTTACTATGAAATGCACTTGAGTCTGCCTTGATTGAAGTGGCATACACTTATCAGTTCAGCAGACAACCTACAAGATGCTTGTATTGTTTCTGGTGTGTAAGTGCAATTAATTCCATTCTTAAGTCATACTGCCTCTTATTATTTGTAGCAGTAAGCTAGTCAAGTATGTATTTGTGACCTGGAAAATACTGATAATGAGATCAAATTATATTTGAAAAACACTTATAGGGATTCACTGTTTAAAGAATTCTACTTGTGAATTATTTTATATAGCAAGAATCCATTTTTATATCAGTGTTTGTTGACCACATTATTTGATGTGCAGTCTCTGCATTTTTGTGCTGGATATCTTGGTACATCTGTAGTGACACAGCCTGAGACCCACTGTCATCGTTCTTTCTTGATCATATTCAGATCTATCACTGTCATGCTAAGGTATGAGGAAACAAACATTCCTGAAGCACAGTCAAACAAGTCAGTTTCTAAGAGTGTAATATAAGCTCACATTACTACTTTAATTGTTAACTACCCCATGAGAGCCTTTGCTCTCACACTCCGTCTTCATCTTATACTACTAGGATAAGTTTTGGTGATTTCAGATCTTTGGGCGTCCATGTGAAATGTTACACATTGCTTCTGAGAGATGTGTCTTTTGGATCTTGCCCTGCCAATCTAATGTCTTTGTTACTCCTTTGAGATTCATATGACTCACAACTTGCAATAGACTGCCTTAAATATCTTTTACCAGGTTCCTGATGACAAATTTGAATTAAACAAAGCCAGTGGTCTCACAAGAGTAACAAGCTTTTTATGGCCAATCTACTCATCGACTCATTCTGCTCTGTTCATTGATTCATTCATAAATGCTCATTTGATTGTAGGAAAAGGCACTTTACTACTAGATATTTTCAAATATCACTCATTTTCATAAAAACATATGCCATTTTATTGATATTCCAGAGAGATTATTAATTTGCAGGAAACAAACAAAATAATGGTATTTGAAGTCAGACCTGACTCCAGTGCGCCCCCACCCATTTTGTTTTTCTTTGCTAAATTACAGCAGCACAGTATTTATTTATAACCACGGGCCAGGATTTGTGCTAAAGACTCTATCCACATCATATTGAATTCTTACCCAACCCCGTAAGTCCAGCATATTACCCCATTTCACACCTCAGGTAACTGATGTCAGCAGTTGAGTAATCAGAAGTGCCTATCTCCCAGTTGCTCTCTATTTACTTGACTTACCACTTAGCACCAGCTGACAGTCTCCATTATATCCACTAGAATCCCTTCAGTCCTTGGAGACTTTGTCCAAGTCCATAAATTTATGTCCTGGAATTTTTTCCAAGGATTTAAGAAACTATAAGGTTTCTCAGAGTTCTAATTGTAATACAGAATTGAAGCCACATAAAAATATTGAAGATGAGGGCTGGAGAGATAGCTCAGCAGTTAAGAGTGCTGGATGCTCTTACAGAGGACCCAGGTTTGATTACTAGCTCTCTTGTGGTGGCGAACAATCATCTGAACTCCAGTTTCAAGGAATCCAGTGCCCTCTCTGACCTTCGAGGGCAATGCATGACATGGGTGCACTTGCATGCAGGCAATACATTCATACACATAAAATAAAATAAAAATAATAAAACATTTTAGAATCTCGAAGATGAGGCTAGAGAGATGGCTCAGCAGTTAAAAGCAGCAGCTACTCTTGTGAGGACCCAGGTTCGGTTCCCAGCACCCACATAGTGGCTAACAACCATCTGTAACTCCAGCTCCAGGGGATCCAACACCCTCTTCTGATCTTCATGGGCATTGCACAACATGAGTGAACTTACATACATTCAGGCAATATACTCATACGCATAAAAATAATTAATAAAATGTTTTTAAATAAAAAACAATAGTGAAGCTGTTAGAATCATAGGAAAAAAAAATACTAATCCTTGAAGACAGACCATGCTGAGTTCTGTGCATCTCACCAGTTCATTGCCCATCTTCAGGGTCACTGACAGCATCCTGGCCATGGCTCGCCCATCCTCTGAGCTCCTTGAGAAGTATCACATCATTGAGCAGTTCCTCAGGTAAATGCTGCATCACTTATAGCTGAAGTGAGCAAGTTCAGTGTGAGTTTTTTTCATTGATTATGCCATCAAGTGAAAAGGGGCCTTCATTTTAAAAATGGATAGTGAAGAAAAAGTTTATTTCAAATAAAAGTTCGAAGGCAATTAATAATATATATTAATGCTAAAACCTAGCTCTTTATGACTCCAGCTCCTTATAACTGATTGCTCTTTTTCCTTTAAGTCATGGCATAAAAACAATAATCAACCTGCAGCGCCCTGGTGAGCATGCCAGTTGTGGGAACTCTCTGGAACAAGAAAGTGGCTTCACATACCTTCCTGAAGCATTCATGGAAGCTGGCAGTAAGTTCCTTCCCACTCTGAAGTATCAAGGACAGCAGTTAAGAGACTTTGTGTCTTTAGGCTCGCAGGTTAAAAGGTGGTGGAGGGGCTGGAGAGATGATTCAACAGTTAAGAGCACTGGCTGCTCTTGCAGAGGACCCATGTTCAGTTCCCAGCATCCACATGGTGGCAAGGAACCGGCTGTAACTCCAGTTCCAGGTGATCCTATGCCCTCTTCTGGCCTCCACAGGCATTGCATGCATATAGTGCACTTAAATACATGCAGGCAAAACACTCACACACATAAATTTTTTTTTTAAATTAAGGTGATTAACAGAGCCTGCACAGTAGCAGGGCATCTAGAAAATGAAGGTGAGATAATTTGACCTGAAATGAGTCTACATTCTTTTATGTTGCTGTTGTGACTACAATGTTTCTTTTTTTCCTCTAAGAGGGATGTTGGTAGGAGACCTTACAGTAAAAAGACACTCATTAAGTTAATGCCTACACTGCTCCAGACACAGTGATCTCATTTTATCCTTATAGCAGTTTACATGATAACAGTTGTTACTTTTGTTTTATACATGCGGCCACCAAGGCTTAGGGAGTTACAAACTTTCTTGACATCACACAGCTTAGAAACCACAAGGACTGGAAGCTGAACAAGCTCTGCTCCTACAAGAATGTGTCCTACTGGCCATCCCAGAGCAGAGCTGTCAAGGAGCTTTGGAGTAGAGTCTGCTCAGCACAGGTTATTCAAACCAGACCAAACAGGATGAGCATGTAGTCTGGGAACTTGTTCTTAAGATGCATATAGCTTTTGCTCTTCACCCCAAGTAGAAAAAAAGTGTTTGTACTATATATCACCATGTATTGGTTATTTAGACAATTTCTATGCTTAAACAAGAATATATTGTTTACCCCCATATTAGTTTTAATTCTACTCTGTCATAATTCTTTCTAGCTTAGTTTCAGCAGGAAATGTGTTAAGTGATACAGAATGTACTTTGTAAGAAATATTGGCAGTTAGACTTCTATCGGAATATAAAGTCTTATTGTAAGCTTGTACTCAAGGAAGTCTATGAGTCTTGTGTTTTTCATGAATTCACTCATTTTCTTCTAATGTCTTTGCAAGTATTTTTTCTATATATTAATTTTGGTTTTCCTTTCCTTCTTTCATTTCCTAGTTTATTTTTACAATTTCGGATGGAAGGATTATGGTGTAGCTTCTCTCACTGCCATTTTAGACATGGTAAAGGTGATGACATTTGCCTTACAGGAAGGAAAAGTGGCCATCCATTGTCATGCGGGGCTTGGACGAACAGGTGAATTCTAGGAAGTCATTTTATTGTCTTGTAGGCATAATTCAATATGTGTGAAGTAAGATTTCCTAATTCTAAAGATAAATATTTTTAGAATCATAAAATTTTGGAGTCAAATTGAAGACACAAAAGATACTTGAAATATCTTAAACCTGCAGTTATAATAACCATATATTAATAGTTGGCTATTGTATTTGAATTGTTATCTTTTCATTACTCATTGGTAAAAATTCATAGTTACTATACTATAGCAGCTGGCATCCCTAACATAGTTACATCATGGTCTGTAGAAAAACAAAGATTAGTGTAAATGTAGTGTGGAAGAATTTTCAGGCAGAGTAGTAGGCTATGAATATAGATAATCCCCTGAAAGAAAAAACTTCCCAAGTTGGGAGAAGGCCCCGCAAGAATGTTCTAGCAGTTGGTGGCAAAGGTAGGAAGTTCCTGGCACACAGCAGGTAAGTGAATTGGATGAAAGATTTCAAGAACTGTTCACAATGGAGTACAGAAGCATGACTTGACTTCCTTCCATGTCAGAGTTGGGCAGGAAGATCCTCAGCTCATTCAGTCAAGCCTCCCATTACTTCACCTACCAGCACTGTGCTAACCCATCTTTGCAGTGCATCAGTGACTCAGTCATAGGAAGGAACTGCCACACAGACATGTAAAAGTTTGTGCAGTAAGGGGAGAGCAATAAATGCCTGAGGGGCTGGGGATTTAGCTCGGATGGTAGAATGCTTACCTAGAATGCATGAAAACCCTGGATTTGATCCCCAGTACGACACAAAGCTAATATGTTACCCCATACCAGTGAGCCTAGCATTCAGGAGGTAGAGGCAGGAAAATCAAGAGATGAAGGTCATTCTTGCCTATATACAGAGTTTGAGGCCAACCTCGGCTACCTGAGACCCTCTCTGTAAAAAACAGCAACAAAAAACTTAGAGGTATCATTATTACTGTCCTTCACGTGTACTGTGTTCATTGTTTCTTAACACATATCAATTTTAAATGAGCCTTTTCTCATATCAGTCTTGTCTTCTTTACTGTTTAGGTGTTTTGATAGCATGTTATTTAGTTTTTGCCACAAGAATGACTGCTGACCAAGCAATTATATTTGTGCGGGCAAAACGACCTAATTCCATACAAACCAGAGGGCAGCTGCTCTGTGTGCATGAATTTACTCAGTTTTTGGCCCCTCTCCGTAATATCTTCTCTTGCTGTGATCCCAAAGCACATGCTGTCACCTTAGCCCAGTACTTGATTCGCCAGCGTCATCTGCTTCATGGTTATGAGGCAAGACTTCTGAAACACGTGCCAAAGATCATCCACCTAGTTTGCAAGTTACTGCTTGATTTGGCTGAGAATAGGCCAGTGGTGATGAAGAACATGGAAGGACCTGGTCTCTCTGCCGAAATAGAAAAGACTGTGTCTGAGATGGTCACAATGCAACTAGATAAAGAGTTACTGAGGCAAAGCAGTGATGCGCCTGACCCGTTTAACTCTGCTGCAGCGGCAGCAGAGTTTGAGAATCAGGATGTAATTCTTTCTAATGACCAAGAATTTGGTCCTCTCTGGAAGAGGCGGAATGTTGAGTGCCTTCGGCCCCTGACACGTCTGAAAAGGCAGTTTAGCTACAGTGACTCAGATTTAAAGAGGGCTGAGACTCTCCTGGAGCAAGGGGAGACCCCTTGGACAGTGCCTGCCCAGGACTTGCTGGGCTACAACCTCCAGCAGCAGAATCCCATCAGCCACTGTTACATCTCACCAACTCCAGAGGTAGGTTTAAATAAGGAAGCATTGGTTCATAGTACATTTTCCTTTTGGACCCAGTCTAAGTGTGGAGGCTTGGAAGGACTCAAGAATAATGGATCACCACTTCTCTGTAGGAGGGACATTCCAAAGGAAGTGCAACGGAGCAGAACTTTCTCTGTGGGTGTATCATGTTCACATAATCTTGAGGAACCAGTGACACCCAACTTTGCAAGTACCCATAAAGATCCAGAGTCTTCCCAGCAGCAAGTCACCCACTGTCAGCATGAAGCTCTGGGTTGTTGGGTGCCAGGCTCTGTACAAGAGGAGGGTAATACTCCCTGCAGCCCTCCTAGCTGTGGCTCCAATCCCAAGGCACAAATACCACGTGGACAGGAAACCCAAGACAGCACAAACCTGTTTGAAGCAATGCCACATGGTGGTTTGCAGTCTGAATTGAGTGCTGAAGCAAGGAGAATACTGGCAGCAAAAGCCCTGGCAAATCTAAATGAGTTTGTAGAAAAAGAAGAAGTGAAAAGGAAAGTGGAAATGTGGCAGGTATTTGCATTTCATTTAGTTGTATATCTATATACGTCTATATGAAAATAGTTATGTCAGAACAAAAATATAGCACATTTTCCAAGCTTATTTATTACAGAATTGTGAAGATATGAACTTGTGGTTTCTCAGCTATGACAATGTGAACTTGATGTAGAAATGACTCATGGTGTCTGTGTAGTTTCATTGTGTATAAGAAAACACTTAGCACAATGTTTACTCCATACATTGCAGCCAGCTCACAGCAGATGTTGGGGAATGGCCTATAGTGTTTTTCTAACTGAAGGCCTAGCACGGAGAATCACAGTTGGGAACCACTGGTCTAGAGATACAAATAAAACAAAATTACATCTCAAAACTTATTTGCACAAGTACAGAGTGAGATCTGTCGTCTCAGACTCTTTCACAGTTTTGTTGGCCTTACTCCAATGGGGTCTCCTCAGGATTTGAGACAGTAAATAGGAATGTCCCTTATGCTATCATGATGTATCAGTTATATCAGAGAGGAAGTCTTTGAGGCCCATTGCTTGGCTTTTATTTAGAATGTGAAATTTTAAAATTTAACTTTTTGTGTGTTGTATTTTCACTAGGAAGACAGTCTTAATCCAGCTGTGCTATCCTTAACCACTATGAGCACCACATCTACAGAAATGATGGGTCCTAGAAAACCCATTAGCAGAAGGGGGGACCTGCCCCTGCATGGGCTAACTGAGGCATCCTGGTTCAGAGAAATCCTGAGTTGACAGGCATACTCTGCTATGGATTAAAGATTTTTTTTATTTTTAATTATGTGTATATGTGTGTGTACATGTATGTGTGTGTATGTACATGTGCATGTGGGTACCTGTAGAGACCAGAGGGTGTTGGATTCCTCTGGAGCTGGAGTTAGGCAGTTATGAGCCACCTGATGTATGCGAAACCAAACTCAGGTCCTCTGCAAGAGCAGAAAATACTTTTAACCACTAGGTCATCTGTCCAGCCTATGCTATGGCCTACCTTAATAGTGACTCTTCTTTATTCCACCATTTATTAAAGCAAGCCTAGAATTCCTAGAAATGTTAGTTCTCTATAGAGGCTGAAAACTAAGCTTGATGCTTCATACTAACTTAAAGCTGTGTGGTGGGAGAGAACTTTGGATCAAATCTGAGGGGCTGGAGAGATGACTCAGCAGTTAAAAGTGCTTACTACTCTTGCAGAGGACTCAGGTTCAGTTCTCAGCACCCATGTCAGGTGGCTTACAACTGTCTTTAACTCCAGTTCCAGAGGATCTGATGCCCTCTGGCCTCTGTGGATACCTGCATGCACATGATACACAGAAGCTTACACAAACACATATATATCTACATAATTAAATCTTCCTTTAAATATTTTATTTATTTTTATTTTATGTGTATGCGTGTATTGCCTGCATTGCACCTGTGTCATGCAGTGCTCACAGAGGTCAGAAGAGGGTGTCAGAGCCCCTGTAACTAGAGTTACAGACGTTTGTTAGCCACAATGTAGGTGCTGGGAATTGAACCCAGGTCCTCTGCAAGAGCAGCCAATGCTTTTAAACACTGATCCATCTCTCTAGCCCTAAATCTTCTTTTTTAAAAAAGCTCATCTGTATTAAAATACGTGCCTAATGAAAAATTAGTTTTTTAAAAATGAATTGTTTTATTTCCTACTCCAAATTGAAAAAAACTCCTGTCCAGTCTGCAAATATTTCCCATACATTACTGTATATTTGAGAGGTGGTAAGAGGATCTTTAAGAATGTCACACCCCAACTCTTGGGTCAGTCCTTGCATATCCATCAGCCAAGTACCCACAAGAGCTGATAAGGTGTAGGTTTGGTTCCGGGGGGGAAAAAAGTAAAAGAAACATTTAAATAGTATAGTGTTGCCTATGCTAGGCCCGTTCATGAATATTTAATTTTATTTTCAAAGTAGTCCCATGAGGCAGATGATACTATTTATAAATTCCTTGTTATCTATGAATTTAGTATTACAGATGAGGAACCCAAGGGCTCCAGAAATTAAGTGGCTTGTTTGAGGCATGTGATTCATTCAGCAGAGCTAGAGTACAGTTTATGAGTTCACTACTTTCCATTAGCCCCTTACCTCTTCTTTACCTCACTAGAAAGCTCCAGAAAGCATGATGCAATACTCATTTCACTAAGAGGGGTTTTGTTCTGCCTAACTTAGCTCATTATAGCCATAAAATTAAATAAAAATTTAAATCTTTTTTGTATGTAATTTGTGGGATGAGCAGAAATATAGACAACTCAAAAGTATTGGCTTATTTATAAGATAAAAGGAAACTCAGCACAGGAGGGTTCTTGTGCTATGGCCTGTGCAGCTAGAGTAAAGCAAACTGTAAAACCTCCTTACCATTTTGTACCTTTGAGCTCTTGACAAATTTTGTATCTATCTTAACATTTATCTGTGAGAAGCCTCCCTGTAGGTTTGCTGAGAAAGTTAGAGATAAGTCATGTGTTATAGTTTCTGTTATGCTGTGGTGGTAGGCCACAAGTGTTTACTGGGTGACTGAATGGTAGCAATTACTGAACTTCTACTATTGTAAAATTATAAGCATTGATCTGATCCCTGTCAGAATTTTATCTCACTTTATCTCCTGCATTCTTTTTTCCCCGGAGCTGAGGACCAAACCCAGGGCATTGTGTTTGCTAGGCAAGCGCTCTACTGAGCTAAATCCCCAACCCCTCTCCTGTATATTTTAAAGTAAAATTACAAAACCGTCCATATGGGGTCAGTGAGATGGCTCAGCAGGGGGGAAAATGCTTCTGCCAAGGCTGAGTTCTATCCCCAGAATCCACATAGTGGAAGGAGAGAACTGACTCCTACAAGGTGTCCTCTGATCTACACACACACACACACGCACACTGTGACATATGAATGCATACATACAATTTCAATATATGTAATAAAATCTTATGTTTGAATTATTCCAGCTATTTGGGGACATTAGCAAGGCTTCCCAGTTATTTTCACCCTAGCAAATTCCAGGATGCAGGTCTTGCTTGTTACTTGGTAAATTCTCTATAGGATTCTAAAAGGCATTTGTTAAAAAAAAACATTATATATATATATATAGTAAATACATATATATGCACCATATCAAGCATTTTTTTATTTTTGAATGTACTTTGAAGTTTCAATCAAAAGGTTTATCTGAGCCTCCAGGTTAATTTATAAATGTTCTCCTGTTTTTAGGTTGTTTTTTTTCTTTTTTTAATTTTATGTGTATGAGTGTATTGTATTGCCTGCATGCATATAAGTGCACTCATGCCATGCAATGCCCACAGAGGTCAGAAGAGAACATCGAATTCCCCTGTAACTGGAGTTATGGATGGATGTTAGCTACCATATGGGTGCTGGGAATCGGAACTGAGTCCTTTACAAGAGCAGTCAGTACTCTTAACTGCTAAGCCATCTCTCCAGCCCCATATTTTTAGTTTTTTTTTTATCTACCATTCTACCTCATTTGCAGTCAGTATTTCTGTTTTGTTCCCAGAAACCTGAGAAGGAAAGCTCCCTCTTTTTGATCTTCTTCTGTGGTCTCTGAGTTGGGGACAGGGGCTGCATACTTCAGTGGCCCTTCTCTCAGTAGTTAGCCAGTATCATATGTGGCAGGTATGTACCTCCCAAAGGGAGGCTAGGTTTAGACAAGTTCTTGTGTTAACATGTATACCTACCTAGAGGCATAGAAACTAGGAAAGGTCCACTCTGTTTGTCTTTCTCTTCCATTTTAGAAAGAACTAAATTCCAGAGAGGGAGCCTGGGAAAGAATATGTGGTGAGAGAGACCCTTTCATCTTGTCCAGTTTGATGTGGTCTTGGGTGGACCAACTGAAAGAGCCTGTGATCACCAAAGAGGATGTGGACATGCTGGTTGACAGACAGGCTGATGCTGCTGAAGCCTTGTTCTTATTGGAAAAGGTAATATAGCTATTGGACCAGCTAATGAATTGAACTAAGGCCCTCAATATAAGTTTCACATGTACAAAAAAAATTATTGCTAAAAGAGTTCATCTAGACTCTTTCATTTAGGTCTAATTTAATAGATTTTGTAAAATAAAAAATAAATTGGGGGGGGACTGGGAGGTAACACGGTGGTATAGCACTTGCCTAATATATGCAAGGCCCTGGATTTGATCTCTAACACTATAGAGACAGAGAAATTGATACATAAGCATTTAGAACATACAGAATTGGAGGTGCATGCTATAATCCCAGCACTCAGGAGGTAGAGGCAGGATCATAAGTTCATGACCAGTCTGCATACTGAATTCAGGGTTAATGAGGTATGTTACAAGACTCTTCAAAAAGCCAAGGGCTGGGGATGTATCTCAGTGTTGGAGCATTTGCCTAGTGTATGTAGAAGACCCCAGGTTTGATCCCAAACATTGCACCCCAAAAGTGAAGATGTCCATAATACTGGGAGACTGAGATGGCTACACTTTTAGGGATCATTTCTATAATGTGAATAATTCTAGGAGAATTACAATGAATGTTTTCAATCTTTCCTTTTTACTATTTTCAATACACATTTTAACATAGTAAATGTCTTCTACATACAATTTTATATTTCATTTTTACTTTGCTATGTATGGCAGTATACATCTTTAATCCCAGCACTTGGGAGGCAGAGGCAGTCAGATCTCTGTGATATTACAGATATTACAGTCTGAACTACATAGCAAGTTCTAGGCTAGCCAGAGCTTCATAGTGATACCCTGTCTCAAAAAACAGACAAACCAAAAATGATTATTTTTCATAAATAGATGAGCATATCAAATAGTGACTGTGGTGGGTTTGAGTGGCTCTTACATGAAGTTATGCCATAATTAACCACTCTCTTTCACTGTGAGGTATTTGTTTCTACTTACTATGACCATGTACCTCTAAAAACTACAAAGCAGGTTGGAATATAAATTCCTTCGTATTTTTAAAGAGGATTATATCACTCACACACATAGACACATCTATATAGCTTATGTATGTATAAAATAGAGAAGACTGAGGAAGAATAATAAACTGGTTCTAGTGTTTGCCATCAGAGAATAATACTGTAAAACAATGGATGTAGGAAGAGAGGGAAATTTACTTTTCATTGTCGCTCCTTTCATACAACTTAGCATTTGGTTGTTGTTGTTTGATTGGTCTTTTTGAGACAGGGTCTCCCTGTAGCCCCAGCTGCCCTGGAACTTGCTATATAGAACAATTTGGCCTCAGTCTCAGAGATCCACCTGCCTCTGTCTTCCAAGAACCTGGATTAAAGGCATGTGCCACCACATCTAGCACAACTTAATATTTTTAACCACATGAAAATAATTTTTCAGTTATCTGTCATGCTTGAGTTACCTACCATGTGAATTCTTCACTGAAAACTGTGGCTTTGTTCACTTCCCACAAACTACTTTCACACTATGTCACACACACACATGCAGGCATATCCCTTCACACATGTGTATATTAAGACATAACACACACACAGAAGCATACACACATAGAAATACATACACAATCGTGCAATGCATACCATTTTTGTGTGTATGTATGTATATTTGGTGTGTGTTTGTATGTTCACGTGTGTGGGCATATGTGTTTGTGCATGAATGGGGAGGCCTGAGATTGATGTCAGATGTCTTCCCCAATCTCTTTCCACCTTATATATTTTGAGGCAGGGTCTCCCACTGAACCTAGAGCTTGCCATGTTGGCTAGGCTGGCTAGCCAGTTCCAATGATTCCTGTCTCTACCTTCTGCCAGCTGGTATTATCTACCATATTCACCAGGCTTTTTACAAGGGTTCTGGGAATCTAAACTCTGGACCCCAGATTTGCACAACAAGCTCTTTATCAATTGAGCTGTGCATACCCTTTAAGGTAAGATTTTTTTCCCAGTATCTCGAACCTTTTTCTTAGGCTGTTTTCTCAGCAGTTAAATTTTAGAGATAAAACTGGCGATGATAAGGCAGGAGATTAACCATCAAGAAGTAATTTCTACTTTCACCTTTGTCATCTTATAGAGTGTGGAGAGAAAGGACCCTTTTGTAGACAATGGCAAGGTGGACCACTTGCTCAAGGTTTACAGTGGGTCTGTAAGCTAATTCGAACTCATATTTAGGTGGTGAAGCTCATGCCTTCTCTATTGCATCAAGTTGTCAGTTTTATTACAACTTGCCCCAACCCCCATGTGTAGGTTATTTCTGTTGTATCAAGACTTTTTTCAACATATTTTTGTTGAATTTTTGTGCATTTCATCTATCTTAATGATATTTAGAACCCCTCCTCAACCTACATCCCCTCTCCCCCCAAGCATCCTCATAGGATTTCATGCATCCTGTCATATATGTTAAGGCCTATTGAGTCAGGTTTGTGTTCCCAGATGTCCCTTTGTGTGAGCTCATCCACTGGAGCCTGATCTAGCATCACTCCCTTAAGGAAAGCCACTCTCCGTCACCCAGCAGTGAACAGCTGCCAGTAGTTCCTCAGCTAGGGGCTTCTTGCCAATTTCCCCATTTCTATGCTGGATCTTTGGCCTGAGTTTGTATGGGTGTTATGTGTGCTGTCACCACCACTGTAAGTTCATAGAGAAAGTTCCCAGAAGCCTGAAAAACTGTTTTCTTGTGGTTATCCTACACCCCTGGCTCTTACAATCTTTCCAAAAGTTTTTTTAATATATATAGACATCATTATAATAATAATCTTTGTTTACAGACTATTCTGTATTTCAAGTTATTCTTAGAGTAGATTTCTAGAAGTGAAGTTAGTGGTGGGTCTCAATGAGTTATGTCTTGGATATGTTTTGCTCATGGTGATGGAGTTTCTCCTTTGCTGAAGTAAACAGTCCCAAGCATGCAAGTCAGTGAACACTCTTATAAAGTCTATCACCTCAGGTCTGGGGCTGCCTCTCTTAAGTCTTTGTTGCTATTGGGGAGCTTCATGTACTGACCATTTGGTGCCCAAGTGATTACCATGACTGATGGCATCTACTGAGCAAGCTGAAATCATTACATCCAGAAGCAACAGGAAGGAAAGGTCCATTCAGTGCCCTGCAGGAGAAACGTATGGCTTAAAACTGCACCAAGCTTGAGTCAACTGACTCAAATTTTGTGTGATTAACCAAATAACCCTGACACTGTCCCCTGAACAGTTTTCATATTATAACATAACAGTAAACACTTGACACAGTGCTTGATAATTATTTTAACTTTTGAGATTGAATACTAGGTCAGAACCAGTTGCTCATTCCAGTTATTTATATCGATTTCTTGAGAAATTTTTCAAATTTTTAAATAATTTTGATTTCCGAAAAAAACAGGGACAGCACCAGACCATCCTTTGCGTGTTGCACTGCATAGTGAACCTGCAGACGCTACCCATGGAGGTGGAAGAAGCTTGCCTTGCCCATGCCATTAAAGCTTTCACTAAGGTGAGTCCTGCTTTTCCCTCCTTCTGCACCAATCACCCCATCTTTGTAACTCAGAATCCAGAGGTCACCTTTCCTTCTGAAGTGGAACTCCTGTTTCCTCTTAATGCAGACATATTTAGCATTTCATATAAGTAGCTGCAGAGTTTCTTAACAGTGATATCAGGAAAAGCTGAATTGTGACTGTTTTTGAAGGACAGCATGGGAACAAAGAGCTTTTATGTACGCAAACAGCTAGGTGTTGAGCAAGTATTTTTAAATCATGTGCCTCGTAGGAGTCAGGAGTATTTTCTTGTCCAGCAGTTCTACCTTGGGTTTAAACTAGAAGCCATCTATGCAGAGTTAAACATCTAACATTGCCAGGTTGATACTGTATCCTAGTTGACAAATCTTAAGCAAAGAATTTTTTTAAAAAGTCATCTCCTTTCTATACACATCTTCTGGCAGTTTTTCCTGACTGAGGAAGCTAGGTTCTTGCCACCAGAGAAGGTTCCCCTCACCCTTTACCTGATTTGTTTATCTGTCACATATGATATGAAAATGTCATTAAGCAAAGGACCCAACTTGTGAATGATGTCTGTGGTAAACATTGATAATACCCACAGGTACTATTTGTACTCATTCATATATTACAATGATGTTTTTTAAGATTTATTTTAATGTGTGTGTGTGTGTGTGTGTGTGTGTGTGTGTGTGTGTGTGTGTGCAAGTGTAGATGCCCACAGAGTCCATAGACCACCCTGGAGCCTGACCAAGAACTAAACCCAGGTCCTTTGTAAGAGCAATGCATGCTCTTACCTACTGAGTCATCTCTGTAGCCCCAACACTTTCTTTTTCAGTACTCATCCAGGCTCCTTCTCTCTTCCCTTCCACTATTTGCAAAATACTTCTCCCCAGGCCCGTTTTATTGCCCAAGGTTGACAGGCACACAGAACTCAGCCTCCTTTCAGTCTGTTTTCTCTAGTTTCGAGAGTCCATGTGTTAGATCCCAACCACATGGGCCTTTTATTATTTTCCTAGACTAAGGGAGACCTTATCTCAAAATAACTTTTTTAAAATTTCAATTAATGCTAAGGTGGAATTTTTTTTTTTTTTTTTTTTTGGTCTTTTTGAGACAGGGTCTCCCTGTAGCCCCAGCTGTACTGGAACTCACTATGTAGACTAGGCTGGCCTTGAACTCACAGAGACCCGCCTGCCTCTGCCTCCCAAGTGCTGGGATTAAAGGCGTGTGCCACCACGCCTGGCCCTGAGATGGATTTTTTACAAGTAAGATAGATGCTATAGTAATTATTAAAAATTAATGAATTTGGGGGGGCTGGAGAGATGGCTCAGCAGTTAAGAACACTAGCTATTCTTGCAGAAGATCCTCCCAGCACCCACATGGCAGCTAACAACTGTAACTCCAGTTCCAGGGGATCTTACAGCCTCTTCTGTCCTCTGCAGGCATTGCATGACATGGGTGCACTTATCTACATGCAGGCAATACACACATACACATAAAATTACAAATTTTAAAATTTTAAAAAATTTTAAAAAATTAATGAGTTTGGAAAAGATGTCAATATTGGTCTCTTGAAAAACAGATTTTTTAAAATTTTATTTTTATTTTATGTGTATGAGTATTTTGCCTGCATGTATGTGGATGCATCACCTGGGTGCACCACATGCATGCAGTGCCCACAGAGGCAGAAGAGGGCATCAGATCCCTGGGAATTGGAATTAAGGACAGTTGTTAGCACCATGTGGGTGCTTCGAATTGAACCCAGGTCCTCTGCAAGAGCAGCCAGTGCTCTTAACCATTGAGCCATTCCTCCAGCCCCTGAAAAACAGAATTTTTACAGTATCTTTTGGCCTTTTAATTGGAGATGCCAGTAAAAAGTTAGATTTGTCAGTTGTTGAGGACAACTGTCCATGGGTCTCCTGTTTGTGCAGTCTGATAATCAAAGCAGGAACATCTCTGTCTGTAAGGCACAAACACACTTTTATTACCTTCCCAATGTGACAGACAATAGGTAAAGGTTGGCAGGCTAACTTGCAGCTCCCTTAATAAGACGACATTGGGATTTTAGGTTTGGGAGTGTAGTTCAGTAGTAGAGCACTTGCCTACCATTTGTGAGGCTCTGGATTCCATCTGCAACATGGCAAGAAATTGTGAGAACTTCTAAATTCAGGGATTCCTGAGTGATGATACAAACCTCCTTTTGTTTAGCTCTATCTGGGCCATGGGCCCTTGAGTCACCCCCTTGAAATTTGGGGGGACCATAGTAGCCCGCAAGAATATGAAGCTGCAGCTGGGAGAAATAAAATTGTGTCTGACCTGGGAGCCTCTAGTCTACCCGAATCCATAACATTGGCAAACAAGTAGGGTAGCATGTCAGGTCTGTTGCATTGCTGCTGAAGGGAGCAACCTTGACCTTGTCAGAATTTGTCTAACAGAGCAATTCAAGGAGAGAAGCTGGACCCAAGATCCTGGTTCTCAGTGAAATATATTACTCTGGGAATGAGGTATGGGGACTTGCTCTGGTTCTCTGTCCTGTCATCACTCCTCACCAGAGTATGACAGACATGGACAAAGAACCCAGGTGAGCATACACAGTGCCTTCCCAACAAGGAGAGAAAAACTACTCTCACGAGGTTTTTATATGTACAAAGTGTTAATAGGTGCCAAATTCATTTAAAGTCACAGAACTCCTAAACAGTGGCTTTATATTTTCACGTGAGAAATTGAAGTCCATGGAGATGAAATATAAGATGGGGTTACACAGTGGGCAGGTCAAAAGCCAAAATCTGTTTAGATCTTCAGACTTTGGCCCCAGAGTGGCCTTAGGCCTTCTGAGCACCATAGTTACAGGTGGTATGCTCTGTTAAATAGAGACTTCCCATTCAGCATCAACCAGTGATTAATCTCTGAACTAAAAATATACTTGGCACTCACTACTGACTTTCTTCCTGCTACCTGTGTGTGACTATATTAAATATCCCAGCACAGATTGAACTTTTCAGTTTTCTCTCTAAAGTTTGATATTGACATTTGACAGTTCTAGTATAGCCTTTCAGTTGAAATATGTGAAATATATCATGTCTTTTTAATTATATATTTTATAGAGATCTTTAGGATTTTCCCCAAATTTTCTCTATCAGAAACTGGCTAAGAATTTTACTGCAGTGTCTTAAATAGAAATTTTCTTTGCCACCAGGTTAATTTTGATTCTGAAAATGGACCAATAGTCTACAACACCCTGAAGAAAATATTTAAGCACACTTTGGAAGAAAAAAGAAAAATGGCAAAAGAGAGGCCTACGGCTGGCCTCTCATAAGGCTTGCTTTTCTAGATGAGCATTGCCGACCTAGAAGTCCAGATGACATTTCTGTTTATATGGGAATATCTAAAGTTCGTGGAGCTATTTTTTTTTTCATAGCACTTTATTTTGAATGCTGTTTGGCTTGTGCTAAGAATGTCCATTCCTTTTTGGAGCAGTTATTATAAAATATCTTTGAGCTGTGTCTTAAAAAATTGCCATAAATTTGGTGCCATTTTATTTACTGAATTAATAGTGTTGTGTTAACATTTTAAGTATGTGATGTTTGTGTCTTTATTCTCTTCGCTATTTGGGGGAAAAACAGTAACTCTTTTTTCCAAAAGAGTTATTTTCTTGACAGAACTCTTTGTGGCATTTTTACCAAATAGGTCATTTTAGTAATAGAATTTCACTGTGTATACATCCTCCTGTACATAAGACCTAAGAAAGTCACCAAGTGTCTTAAACTGTTTTGTATTTGTTACTAAGAAGGCTATTAATACATTTTTAGAGGACTTTTAAAAACTTTGAAGTTTTTTTTTCTTTTTATAGATGTGACAAGGGTTTCAAAGTGATTTAGTTTCACTTTAATGAAATGACTATGGAGTGGTTGGGATTTCGTACTTGTAGAAAGTAGACTTGCTGTTTGTCAGGCTTCCAGACATCTCTGACTTGGCTGTCACAGGAGGTACGAGCAGATCTCAACAAAAAGCCTTATTTACCCCCCAAGTTGCTGCCGAGCCAAATCACCTCTTTACAGAGAAGTGGGATCAGAAGCAAGCAGCGTGGGAAGTTGCTAAGAAGCAGGACTTGCCTTTGTTCTCCCAGTGACTCCAAGAAAGGACAGCGATGCTGGGGAAGTGCTCTACACCAGCCCTACTTTCTTGGGCACGATGGACACTCTGCAGAGGCAGCTCAACACTGGAGCAAGTCACTGTCTGTTCTGAGGGGTATTAACATTGCTGCCTGGCCTAAGCCCACACTCCCAAAGCTGCCCTTTCACAAGCCCACTTGCTTCAGGTCTCTGATAACTAGCTGCTTTTGTGTTATGATTATAATTTTTAAATTGAATTTGATCCCAGGATGCATTCACCCTAACTGACTTCAAATAAGAACAAATGACTGCTCAATCTTGTTCTTTTTAGGTCAAACTATTAATCAATAATTGAAGCCATAACTTTTATTTAAATGAAATTAATACAGGAGAGTAGCAGAAGCCACACCATAGAGAGAACAGTAGGCAGCTTTCTTGATAAAGGTGATAATCGGACCAATTCAAACAAAGAAGTGACTGATTTCCAAAACAGAATTTTAGGAGAGAAGCAAGAGTGATTTGGAGCAAATTAAATTTCTCTAATGTCTGAATTTCTAAATTGCACTCTAGCATTTCAAAAATATTTTAGCTGGTCATGGTGGTGCACGCCTTTAATCCCAGCACTTGGGAGGCAGAGGCAGGTGCACCTCTGAAACTGAAGCCAGCCTACTCTATATGTTGAGTTCCAGGCAAGCCGGGCTACAGGGAAACCCTGTCTCAAACAACAAAATTTTCAAAATCATTGTTAGTCTCTGCAGCTCTAATGACAAAGGCTAAATGCAGTTTTCTTCCACCATTTTTTTTTTTGAGAAATCAAATACAATAGTTCTTAGTGAACTGACTTGCCCAGTATTGAACTCTCTTTTTCAAAGTGCTTAACTTGAAAGAAGGAAATAATTGCACTCTAGCTCCTGAGGTACATTATAAAAACAAGATTTCAAAAAGAATGTTTGTCTTCACCTCTCAAGTGGGCAGCTGATAGCATGGACTTTCACATACCCTCCCTCTCCCCTGACCAAAAAGCCAGCTCCTTGCTTGTGCATTTGGAACGTCTGTTTCAAGTTATAGAACAGTCATGTGATCACGCCAGTGCATGGCTAAAAATCCAAAAACGCCAGCCTGAGAAGATATGATCAGGCTCTGTAAAGGTATTGTATTTATTCGAATAAAAAGAAAAAGAACAACCAGTGACCCAGTCTTGTATTTCTTAACTTTAATATTCCTGGGCATTGTGCATACCCAAACAATATTGATAAGGGCTTGCTCTTAGATCATTTAATGGGCAGACTGAGCTAGCTACACTCACCTTCAGTTGGAATGACCAAGGATGGAGAGTGGTTTCTAAGAGAAGACTATATATGTATTTTGAAGGGATTGAGAGTCTTACCTTCCTATATCTAAATGAATGAGTTCTTTGTAGCCCAAATAATGAAAATCTCACATACTGTAGAAGTTTTAAAGTTGCAAAATTCTGCTTAAGAAAAAGAGATTGAAAACACATACACATATCTAGAACATATTACCACGGATGGGCACTACTTTAATCCTCTTGGCACCACAAAAAAAACATAGTGTTCATATTCATATGATGAAAAGATGACATAAGACAGAATTCCCACTGTGCTCTCTCTGCCCTCACTACCTTCCTACAGGCTCTCAACCAGGTGTAGACCTTCCCAGCATAGAGCACTTGCAGTGACATCAGAACCCCCCTGAGCACTAGATTCCATGATGGCATTAGAGCATGCCACCTGTTTTCCATAACTATGGAAGTAGCATACATCTAGAGAAGGCTGAGCTGGCTCTATCATGTGATGGTCTCCAGGATACCACACTCAGGAAGTACATGATTTCTTGCTACTGTGGGTTTTCCTTGCTTTCTAACTGCCCTCTGGGAAGAGTTGCTGCCTCTGCTACAGAGTTTGTTTCTTTTATTTGAAAACTCAAATTTCATGCTGGTTTACTTAGTCATATCTTCAGCTAGCTTCCCAGTTTTACACGAGAATGTATGCTGTGTCACTCTGGATTCATGAAAACCTTGTGTCATAATTTGGTAAAGTCTCTCTATTAACTCCCAAGTGGCAAATGCTGCTGAGAAGACTGGCTACTATTCCACTCTACTGTCTAGATGCCTAAAAAGCAGACAAGCAGTGTGCTATAGACAGTTCATGCCCCAAATATCTTGAACCTTAAGTCCTTCCCCCAATAATTTAGGGAGTTTGCTAAAAGCAATATAAAGATTTTCCTCAAAGGACCATTATTGTTGTTCCAAATTAATGTATTTTCAGCACAGGTAAATCAAGAGCATTTCATTTTGTGCTTTTTATGAATGCATCTCAAAATAAGCATATTATCTAAGGAAGCCATTCTTGTGCTATGTTGGAAATTGTTCACAGGTAAAGTGGTAGTAGAAAAATGCCACAAAACCCTGTTTCTCAATGGTGCATTTTTTTGTAGTTGTCCTTTTAGGTATCAGATGACCTTTTATTAGCCCAGTGTTGATAAAACTATCAGTGGATCTATTCAGCTGAGTTTGATTAGCCTTTGTTCTGAGTCATCCAGTCGCTAGTGACCTAATAAGATCCAAATATCCTAAAACCTCTTCTGATAGTTTTATGTATCCACTGTAACTCATACAGTGAGATAAGAGTGTTAAGCCATGACCTCCTAGCTTTCTTGATTAAAATGGAAAGACATTTTATTTTACCCTTAAGCTTACCTGTTTGGGAAGATGTTACATTTTTAGGACCAGTTCTTACTTACCTGACCATTAGCTTGCAGTTAGTCTCAGTATCCTGAGTGTTTGATTGATTGAGAGAAGGATGGGACTGGACAGATAGCTCAGCAGTTAAGAGCACTGACTGCTTTTGCAGAATACCTGGCTTTGGTTCCCAGCACCCACATGGCAACTAACAACTGTAACTTCAGTTCCAAGGGATCTAGCACCCCCTTTTGACCTCCACAGGCATTGCACAACATGGGTATGCTTACATATATGCAGGTGTGGCCCGAATTCCCTCTGGGTCTCCTGCACAGACAAACTATATACTTTATGTGAGTTTATTAACCTACAAAGGAATGAGTACCCACTGCCTAGCCCCGTGCCACGACTCAGAGCTCGCCTTATCAGACTGTGCTACACCCGTAATCACCACTAGCATTCGCTCACGTCTCCAGGGTGAGCGATCAATTGCCCTAGTTCACAAGAGCCAGTCCATTCTGTCCCTCAGCTGCTGAGCGGCTGGCTGTGCGTCCCCCACACCACGAACGCTACCCGGCTGGTGGCTTCTGTCCCAAGATGGCTCCCAGAAGCCCCTTCCTAGTCCAAGCTGCATGTCAGGCCCCCGCCCATTGGAGGAACTAGCTGATAGGGAGACACTTCACCCCTCTCCTCTCTTACAATCTTCCCATCCATCTTCAGCTAAAGTCCCTGAGCCTTGGAGGAGGTGACAGATGTAGGGTGATCTCTCTTGTATCACGGCTTCTGTCCCAAGATGGCTCCCGGCAGCCCCTTCGTAGTCCACGCTCCACATCAGGCCCCGCCCATTGGAGGAACTAGCCAATAGGGAGACAGCAGGCAATACACTCATACACATAAAATTAAAGAATAATTTTTTTTTTTTTTTTTTAAAGAGAAAGGGGCTGGAGAAATGGCTCAGCGGCTAAGAGCACTGGTTGCTTTTGCAGAGGATCTGGGTTCAAGTCCCAGCACCCACATGGTCGCTAACAACTGTCCGTATCTTCAGTTCCAGGGACTCCAACGCCTACTTCTGACCTCTGGGGGGCATTGCATGACATGGGTGCACTTACATACATGTAGGCAATACACTCACACATTAAAAATAATAAAATATTGAGAGAGTGAGTCTCAAGTATTCCAGGGTGGCCTTGAACTCCCTGTATTGGTGAGGATGACCTTAAACTTCTGATACTCCTGTCTTCACCTCCCAAGTACTGAGATTACAAGCATGTGCTACCACCCCTAGTTTATGCAGTGCTGGGGATCAAACCCAGGCCTGTGTACATACTAAGCAAACATTCTATCAACTTAGATACACCCTTAGCCACTACCCTTGGTATCTTTTGTCCACAGAGGCTAGAAGAGGGTGTCAGATCCCCTGGAACTGGAGTTACAGATGGTTGCAAGCTGCCATGTGGGTGTTTGGAGCCAATCCCAGGTCCTCTGCTAGATCAGCAAATGCGGGGCTGGAGAGACGACTCAGCAGTTAAGAGCACTGACTGCTCTTGAAGAGGACCCAGATTCGATTCCCAGCACCCATATAGCAGCTACTAACCGTCCCTAACTCCAGTTCTAGGGGAATCCGAAGTTCTCTTCTGACCTTCGCGGCATTCCACGACACGGGTGCACTCACATACATGCAGGCAATACACTCATACACATAAAATAAAAATAACAAATAAAATATTTAAAAAAAAAGATCAGGAAATGCTGTTAACCACTGAGCCATCTCACTAGCCTCCAATTTTAAATGTGTGTGTGTGTGTGTGTGTGTGTTCACATGTCTCTGTGTTTGCACGTGAATATAGTGCCTATGGAGGCCAGAAGAGGGTTTCAAGCCTCTGCAAGAGCAATACAAGTTCTTAACCACTGAGTCATCTCTCCACCCTCCTAACCTTGGGTTTAAATTTGTTGAATTTATCATTTTCTTCTTTAAAAAAATTAGAGACTGGGGAGATGGTTCAGTGATTAAAGTGTTTGCCACACAAGCATGAGGAGCAGGGTTCAGATGCCCAGAACCCATATAAATGCAGGGTGAACAGGCAGGCATGCAGACCCATCTATATTCCCAGTGCCCACCTAGTAGAGACAGGGACCCCCCCCCCCCAAGCAAACTGGCTAGCCAACCTAGCCATATTTCCTAGCTCTAGGTTCAATGAAGAGACCGTTCCTCAATGAATAAGATGAAGAGCTATCAAGGAAGACTCCCAGTGTCAACCCCGGGCACACACACAAAACAAAACAATAAATCCAGGCTTCTGATTTAGGTTGATCCATGTGGAGGGACCATTTGTGTAGCAAAGAAATGATCAAATCATTAGTCTCTTGCTATGTTTCAATGTAATAGTAAATGTTTCTGCAACTGGTAGGTGACATTCCCTGCATTTTGATAAGATGACCCATTATTCTCCCTTTGTCCAGGAGCCAAGGTGCTGTGATCCAAACATGCTCCAAATTCATGTGTTGGCAACTGAATCCCCCCTCCACAATGGTGGGGGCAGAGCCTCTGGGGAAGGAATTGGGTCATGAAGCCCCGTTCTCCTGAGCAGATCTGTGTTGTCACCACTCAGCCTAAAAGGAGCCTGCTTCTCTTTCCCCTCTGCCATGTGAGGACACAGATTTTCTCCATGTAAAGGTTGTAATAGTGAAGGCACTGTCTTAGGAGCAGAGAACAACCCTTCACCAGGTCCCAGCACCTTGATCTTGAGCTTTTGAACTGTTTCAAACTGTTTCTAATTTTAAATGGAAAACCTTTAATAGTTCACCATTGACTACAATGCTTCCTGTGAAGTTTTTATTTTGTTGAGGTTATTTCCTTATATACCTAGTTTTTTGACTTATGATTAAAAGGTTTTTTAAAGCAGGTTGAACATAGATTAATTAAGGAAAAATGAAAAAAAAGTTGGAAAGATTGCTCAGTGGTTAAGAGCACTGACTGTCCTTACAGAGGACCCGGGTTTGAGCCCCAGCACCTGCAGGGTGGCTAACAGCCATCTGTAACCCAATTCCAGGGGATTCGCACATCCTTTTCTGACCTCCACAGGCGTTTCACGATACAGGTATATTTAAATATGTGCAGGCAATACACTCATACACATAAAAATAATAAAATATTTTTTTAAATGAGAAAAAAGCTCTTGAGAATGGGAGGGGCTCCAAGGGAGGAATACCCAAGGGTATTGAATTTTATCAGACGCTTTTTCTGCATCAATTGAAATGCTGTGCAGTTTTGCCCTTCGAGGCAGTTGTCTTTTGTGTGTTAAACCATCCTTGCACTTTTGGTATAAATTCCATTTTGTCATGGTGTATAATCCTTTAAAAATGCTACTGAATTCAGTGTTTTGTGTTTTGTGAGGATAAATGCCTATAAACGGATTGCCTGATGAAAAAATGACTAAAGGGAATTCTCTTGGAACTTCAGAAAGTAAATAAGAATATTGGGA